CCTTACATTACAGCACAAGATTAACTCTTTTTGAAAGAATAAAAGACAACAGAGGGAAAGAATGATTATTGTATCCTTTAGTTGGTGATATTGGTTTAACAGTAACCAACTATATTTGGATTCAGACATTGTTGCACAATCCTAATGGCTGATAATGGTATTGCTACTTTCAGTAACAGAATGATGTATTATGAAGTTATGCTTTACTATGCAAAGAGGAGAAGAATTTGAGGAGATTCTGAGTGGATGAACTGCTGAATAAAGCTTTATACAGGTCCTTAAGCATATTATAAGCCACTTTTGAAAAGGAGAAATGTCTGTTGAATTCACCATTACAAAGAAGATCATAGTGCTTTTTTGTGCAATTTTGAGGAAAAAAAATAACAGAAAAAAGTGAATATTATTTGTAAATAATTAAAGAGAACTTAACTGAAAGAAAAAAGCTGGAATAAGATACCAGGCTTTGGAATAAGTTACTAAAAAATTTAAAGGATGATGGGTCTCAGTTTTCTGCAAGATGCTAAGAATCTTGCAGATGCTAGGAATCTAAATCTACACATAGCTGTTGTTATGCTGCAAAGTAAAAACTATTGGCACTGAAGTGAAATCAATAAGTTAATATTCAAATATTATATTCCATACATGCACTTATGGCATTGAAGCTTATATTTAGTTTTTAAGGAATAAAAAAGCTGTGACTAAAGAAACCAGTAGCTTATTGAGAGTATTATCTTTAAATACATTTAGTAAAATCAAAACTTTTTTTGAAATGTCAACATGATATTCACTTTCGTCTAGTACTTTTTATAGCTGTGGTTATTGAAATATACAGTTTTAGGTAAATCTACAGTTTTGCATTTGATTTTATAAATAATATGTACTTTTAGAACAATTTTCTTTTTAATTAAAGCTATATTCAGATTTATTTTTGAATGAGTGTCTTCCTTTACAGTTGCATCAGGTCCTTAATCTTATTTGAGTGACAATAAAACATCAGTCCATTGAAACTACTTTGCTTGTTATCAGCTTCTATTCACAGATCCATGATAATTAAATCAGTGAGATTCTCTTTTTATTTTTTAGCATTGTAACATGATAGTTTTTGTATGGTTCAAAATTAATATAGGCCTTATTAATGAAATAAAACTTTTATGTGAATACAAATTCTGGTATATTTAAAATTATCTATTTAACACTGCTACATTGAAGTTTGCATTAAAATATGAAATTCATTTTTCAGTGATGGTATGGTACTGTTACATAAATACAAAATTATATTTAGTTTGGAACTTAAAATGTAAATCTTGGGGTCAGTGTCTAATCAATAACTTAAGATTTTAACTCAGCTTTAGTTTTGCATATGATTATGTGAAGAAAATTTGGAGGAGATAGAAATGATAACTCTTAGAAAATTTGTTACTTTTCTTTCTTATATTGTTTGCAGGCAGGTAATCCATTACAAATATTTAACTAGACTACTTGTCACCATTTGTTGCATTTTTGGCTATATGGGTCAAACAGCAAATAAAGTAATGAGAAGTTTTTGACTGAATTTACGAGGTGTACTGTCTATTGCCTATTACAAGTGGAGCAAACTGTTCCCTAATTAGTTCTTCATAGTCCAGTACACTATAGATCTGTTACACAGGGCCTTTCAAAGGACTTTATGTCATGAAAGGTCAAGTTTATCAACAAAGTAGATCAGTCAGAGGGGAATTGCACCCAGGCTTCTAATGGGTTCTAAGTATTTAGTAGTTGTTCTCCTCTTGCAATCCGCTTCTAGAGCATACATAATCAAAATGTATGTCTCTTATCCTGTCTTCTTCAGGGTAGCCTGGAGTGGCCATGCACAAAGCTAATGTATGGCAAAAGGCCATGGAGGGTGTTACTTTCCCAAGCCTGCCCATGGGGGCCAGTGTACTGTCAGATATCTTTAGCTACATGACTGAGTAGTCATGGAGACAGATATCAGGAACAAAGCAGAGAACAGTATTTTGCAGCTGCTTCGAAAATAATCATTCACAGTGAGTTGAAAACACAGCTAGTGAGATTGGGAACAGATTGATATTTTTGAGAAATAAACCTCTGAGAAAACACATCTTCCAGACAGAAGAAACATTAATTACATTCTTCCATAAGATGCAACAAGTTTCTGAGAATATGGTATTCACCTTAGGTATGGAATTGAACATCTGCATTGCAATTTTCTGAATATGGCCAGGTTGACCTTGGCAAGCAATGAGTTGTCTAATGGAGGGAGGATGCCAAATCTAGATTAAAAAAGAATAACATGAGTGTACTGCAGTAGTTTTAGTTGAAAAATTAAAGATCATCATCTAGTAATTCAGCAAGAAACCTTCCAGGTAAAATTCCATCTGTCTCCAGAATTGGCTTTCTTTACAGATTTGCTTCACAGATTATGTTGCTCTGAATGATTATCTTTACAGAGCTAATGTAGGTCAAACCTGTATCAGTAAAGCAAACCTTTATCAGCAGAGATTGCGATGTCTAACTGTTACTATAATACACCGCAATGGTTACAATATGTTTGAAGGGTATTATTTTATGTCCTGGAGCATTAATAAACTAAAATGACCAATGGTATCCATAGTAACAAAACCCCAGAAACAGTAGATTGCAGTACTATTCCCAGACATGCTAAACTCCTTCTGAAGCAGGGTCTTTGTTCCAGCCCTACCTCTTCTGTACCATGAAAAAACCCAGCATTCTCTAATTTAGGAATCTACTTTCAGATTAAAATTTCCTCTTAAACAGTCATGTTGAACTACACTGTTACTAATTGAAGTGTATGTAAATTTGCAAAATATCTGGCTTCACTTTCCTATTTATCTTCTCATAATAATTAGGTAATGAATCAATGTCTGATAACTTTTCTCAGGTGTATCTAAGAATGTAGTGCTCTGAAGGTGGTTAGATTAAATTTTTACTTAAAAATTAGAGAGAAACTTTTTTGTATGGTCAAAGAAAAATCATACTTTTTTTCTAAATTGTAGTTTGATTTTTCTTTTTTTTAATTTAATTATACGTTAATGACATAAAATCTATTATATATTGAGAAAAGGTTTTGAAGAAATTAGTTCCACTGAATTCCAGTTATGTATTAAAAGGAAGTATTTGAGATAATACTGATTTATTTGTCCTGTTCCCAAATTAAAATCTGTTAGTTGATGAATTAATGTCTGATTTGCAATTTGAGAAGAATGTAAGAAGTTGGTACTCTTAAAGATATACTAGTAATGTTGATATACTTATAACTTTATCTTGAATTTTGGAAGACATCTGATATTAAATTACTTTTTTCAAAAATCTAACTTATTTTTTAAGAAAAAAACCCTATAATTTTACTTTTCCTTCATCTCTGTAAAACTGTGGGTGAAAACTTTTTTAGTACATAGCCCAGGATTTTAATTTGGTTTTTTGGAAGACAAAATTTTATTCATTGACTAACAGTAGGGAACCCTTTATTTCCTGCTCAGCAGATGGAATAAGATCTGAAAGACTCAGTGTTCCTAATGAGAAAGTTAATGTTGATGTGTCTTTTGATAGAAGGATGCTACAGAAAAGCTAAATCCTTTTTTCAGCTCTTGAGAAATTTAGTACCTTCTCTTGTTTGCAACAATACTAGAAAATATTTATGAAGAGGTGTTTTTTGATGAAAAAATATGTAAAAAATAAACTAAACCCCAAAGTTTTTTAGCTATGTAGATTTACATTAATAGCTTCTGATCCACTTTTATCCATGCAACAGAATGATAGATTTTCTCTAGCAATTTTATTTTTGTGTTTATTACTCTAGAAATCTTTTTACAGTTTTTCCCCTACAGTCTTTTGATTAGGATAGTTAATTAGGTGAGGATGCTATGTATCTCAGCCTCATATTGACAACTTTCAAGGTGTAATCAGTATGTGGACAAAAGTCCCCAGCTCTTCAATTCCATATACACTAGCATAGAGCAGCCAGTGTTACCCATCTTTATTTATTCTTTACAAAATCCTTGAGTAGGAATTGGGAGAATAACTCTTAAGTTGTGTTATTAACATAAAGGAACAGAGACTTAACTTATAGCAATGTGTGTAGCAGTAAATCTGCATTATATGAGAAAACTGCTGTTTAAACGTGCTTCAAAATGGCTTTTTGTATTTCTGCAAAGTCACTGCTTCTTCTTCCCAGGACCCCCCACGGTAGTGTTATCTCTGCCTCAGGAATGTCCTGAGAAGATATCAAGGAGTCTTCCCATTGGGCCCTGTTAACCCTTTCCTATTGGTTGTTAACCCCTTCCTGCAATTGGGTGTCCTGTAAGCCCCCTGACCCTGTAATTGGTCACTCTGTGAATCCTCCTAGGACCTATATATGTAACCACTCCATCAATAAACGTTCTCTCTCGTCTCCTCTCCAAGTCCCGTGTGCTGTCTGTGGCTGCCATGGGACCTCGTGGTTTGGAGGAGGGGGAGCAGCTCTCCCCTCCATGAGGCCGGGACTAAACCCTTGGTGCTGGTGTTTTCCCCTTCCCCATCCACCCTCAAGCCATCAGAAATGGAACCCCACAATGGGAGGAATGCAACCAGAACTGGTACCCCAGAGAGGCTAGCCATAAATGTGTGTTTCTATTTCCCATCTGTTGAATTTTTCTCATACACCTCTGTGGAGAGGTGTGCCTTTACCTTGCTTTGAAAAGAAAATATGAGGACAAAAGAAACAATTGTACTAGATATCTTGACTAGTAGCACAGTTAGCAAGCATAGACCCTGATAGATAAGAAAAAAATATATCAAAGCTGAAGTATGAGATACGTTTTTTTTCAAAACAGGATTGAAATCGTATCCTGATAAATGGTGGATAATTTTGATGTGGCTATCTTATACATTTCAAACTCATTCTGAATTTTCAGCTGCTCTGCATTCACTCATGACCCTCATGTTTGGGTTCTAGATCATGAATTTATTTGTGTCGTGGTTTGAGGCCTGCCCCCACCCCCAGAGCTGAAACATGGCTAGCTACAGGGGTGGTACTTCTGATGCAGAGGCAATTGAAAGCTTGGTAACGCCTCTGCAAAATGACATATTTAATAGACCAGAAGAGAAGCTGGATTGCACAGTAGGAATTAAAGCCACGAGGTAGACAGAGAGGGGCTACAGGGCCCCGCATGGGCCGGGGCCCTTTTCCCCCCTTGGCCCTAGCCCAGGGTCAGGCACGGCACTGAAGCTGAGCTGGGCCCCTAGCTGAGACATGAGCGCAGAAGAGATTGGAGCCAGGAGAGTAGTGGGGGGAGCTGGATGGCCCGTGGGGGCCAGGGCCCTTTCCCTCTCCTCTCGCTGGGACTGCGAGGGGTCTGGCACGGTATTAGAACCACACTGGGTGCCGTGGCCAAGGGCTGGGGGTTTCCCCACTGTGAGTTGGGGCGGCGGAGAACACTGGAGAGTGACGGCGGTGGCCCGCCATGGCGTTGGAGCGGCTGGGACCAAGCTGGGCCCCTCGCTGGAATATGCAGCAGCCAGAGAGCGAGAGAGAAACTCCTCCAGAAGTCTCCTGGTCGACCTCACTACCTTCCCCCTCACTGCGGGGGGAGGCACAGTAAGCAGGTTGGCCAGGCCTTGTGAAGAAGCGGCAGCAGTCGCAGCAGCTCAGAGTGAGCAGAGATGCCTTGCTGAGGAGCAGAGTGGGCCTGAAGCAGCAGCAAGGGACGGCACGGAGCAGAGCAGGCCTGGAGTGGCCCAGACGGTACCAGCGGCCAGCTGGAGCCAGACTGAGAGACGCGGGGCCACCCTGCGGAGAGAACTCACAACAGAGCAGAGAGAGAAAAGCTACACTGGAACGTCTTGGGATAGGACTGAGCCGAACCCCAAGAAACCGGTGATCTGGAGAGGGGTAGGTCCTGCTTGGAGAGAAGTTCCCTCGAGAGCTTGCTTCCCCGGCAAGGGACCCCACATGTTGCAGGGAAAAAGGCTCAGAGTTTTAATTCCCTGTAATATGTGGTGAAGACATGGTGAAACGAGTGTCTCCTTGAAGCCCATGGATGAACCCTCAGTGGGAGCCAAGCGATTGGAGGTGGGGTCAGAGATCCTGCACCTCATAGAAGAGAGAGAGAGAGAGAAATTTACCAGCTATGGCGAATCAGAGCTGTAGCCCTAAGAGTGAAGAAGAAACTTCTCCTCCTGGACTGATATGGGGGGAGAAGGGGTGGTTTTGTAAATACATGGGTTTGTCATTATAGGAAAGACTAGTTAGAATTGTTGTATATATATTATTCTATAGTTTTTTTATTCTGTTAGCAATAAATTTTGATATTATTCCCCATGCCAAGTTTGTTTTGCCTGTCTGTGAACTTCTCTCACCCTTTAGCAAAATTATGGAAGTTTTAAAATTGGCCTGAGTCAAACCACGACAACTTGTACTATATATTTGAAAATACTTTTGTTCATGAGAAGCTTTTGTAAGTAAAAACATTTTTGAAAAGTGATTTAGGGGTTTATATTCTAACATTACAATGCTTAAGGACAAAATCCACTAAGGGGCTTAGATAGAATTTGGGAGTGTTAGCTCCTTTAACATCCATAAGACCCTAATTGGGTCAACTGTTCAAGTTTTCCATGGCAAATTCCTTAAATGACCTGGGACAGTTCCTCAAACTGTGCGCTCCAAATGACCTGATTTGAAGAATAAAGAAATACTATCTATAAAGAATATTTGTTTTGCCATCAAAATACAGACTAAATTCATAGAACAGCACTTCTTCACTCTAGGAATGTGTCTTTGGTGTGATTTCCTTCTATTTGTTACAAAGACTTTTTTTGAGTAAAGGGTACATTATTAATATTCTTGAAATCTTCAAGATCTAATCAAATAATTATTAGCAGCTCAGATCAAATTATTACAAAAAATAAAACAACAACAACAACAACAACAAAAAGCAACAAAAGAAACAAAAGAAAATAAATTTATTCTTACAAAAGATGTCTCCTGTCTCTTTGCTTACCTCAGAGGCTACAAGGAAAGACTAGAAGTCAACTTTATGATGTTTACTGTCATTCCTGGTTACCCTTCTGTAGTGGTGATGCTGTGCATGTAGCTAGCTGTTAATTCGGATACAATTCACACAGTGGAGACATATCTACTCTTTATCTGTCATAGATTTTGCAGCTGTCTTTCAAAATGCTTCTAGGCTCTGCAAAAATTCGTTGGGAACTCTTGGAGTCTTAAATAAAAGTAATCCTCCCAGTAAAGCTTGAGACTTCAAGGTCGGGGTCTTCCAGAAGTATGCCTTTTAGGATTTGATATGAATAGAAGCAAAGCCAAAATAAAGTAAAAATGACACTATTATAGCCTATCCATCATCAGAATTTACTTAGTGATTTCTTATAAACACAGAACCAAAAAAAGGGTCACAGTGAAGAGCCTCTGTATACTCCAGAGCTCCAGAGATAAATACTGGGTTTATTGCTACTAGTTCTGAATTACCTGGGTAAGCCACTCACGTGAAGGAGACATTGAACTTTTTTTATATTCTGGATATTTTTTTTTGTGAATATCAGAGTAAACAGTGTTTCCAAAGAGAATAATTAAAATAATATGTTCTAAAAATCTAAACAGGGTATTCCTCAAACTTATGGGAGCTTTCTGAGAGTTGCTTCCATGTGAAATTTTACTTGAAGTGACCCAATTTTGTGAAGCATTTTTTTGCTGTGGAAGTCATATACAGTCTGCAGTAGACAAACTACTTTCAGAGATATGTTTTCCTTCTCAGTTTAGTAAAAATATTTCCACTTGCTTTAATTGGAAGTGGTTTAAGCTCTAAATTTTCACTAGGAAGGGCTGTAAGATTTCAATTATCCTTCAGATAATGACAATTCACTAAAGAAGTTTCATAGCAAAAACAGGCTACAAAGTGTAATATCCCTTATCTAAACACTGTTGTGAAGTAACACTTAATTTTAAACTTTTTTTTCTTTCTGTTACAGCTAGTGGAGCTCTTACTTAAATTGCTTTAAGGTACATTTCCTACCTTCCTGTTATTTACTTCTAGGAAAAAACAAGCATATTTTTCTAACTTTCCTGAGATGACAGATAAGAATGACAGATAATTGTTGGTCACTCAAAATTATGTTATTTTGCACCTGTCTCAGTGGCAAGAAAGACTGGGAAATTAAAATAAGAGGGACAGAAATTTTTTTTTGCAACAGAGCCATTTTTATCCTACTTAGTAACTTCTGCTTTAAAAACATTCCATTAAGAAGAAGTACTGAATACCTAAGCCATTGACTTTGTATGCCTAGGCCTCAACAATCACATTACAAGATAACCAGAAGTTAATATAATTTTCACCATAAATAGTATTGGACACCAGTGATATTGTTTTCAAACCAAATAAAAAATAGATAGCAACTTTGATCTCAAATAGAAATCCCATTAACATTCAAGTCAGAAACAACAAATAAAACCAAATAATTTACAAATTTACAAATTTACAAATAAAACCAACATAGTAGGCTTTTACAAATTAGAACACTGGCAACAAATATATCCAAAGATGAAACTAACAAGAGTGTCTAATTTTGGTGGGATTTTACAAATGTTCTCATCCAATTGTAGTTCTAGTGAAGAAAAATGATTCATATAACTTAAAAGCACATTGAATAAAGGTCAAGTAGCGGGTAAAGGGGTAATGATGTTAAACCAGGGTTGATTTAGATTATCTATAAGAAAGAAATTTTATACTATGAGGGTGATAAAACACTGGAACAGGTAGACCAGAGAGGCTGAGATGCCCCATCTGTGGAAATATTCAAGGTCAGAACAGAGCTCTAAGCAAAGTGATCTAATTAAAGATGTCCCTGCTCCTTACAGGGATGCTGGATTTGATGACCTTCAAAAGGTTCTTTTCAACTTAAGCTATTCTTTGATTCTATATCAGTGCAAAAATATCTATTTCTCTGTTTATAGGATGGGAGAAAGGTACTGGTGCTCATGGAAAAGTTCTGTTGAAATCTTTATGTGTTTATAAGCTAAGCTTTGAGTACTATAAGATTTTTATTTCTGCGTCAAGATTTTGTTCAGATGAAGAATGAAAACTGAATATATCTTTGAGAAAAAAGAATGATATGCCCTGAAAGAAAAGTAATGAGGTCAATTCTAACACTAGGTAATGAAAAAATATTTTCACTATAAGAACCTCTTTCCTAAAATAACTTACAAGACAAGAACAACACTGTAACAAATTCTCCAGTTATAATATTTAAATTAATATCTCTATATCTTACTTTATTCCCGGCTGCACTTCTAAACACTGCCTTACATTTTCATCAAACATGACATTAAAAAGGTCTCAAATGCACTCACAGGAGTAAACCTCAAAGGCCATTCATCAAAGTCGAAAGCAAAAAACACTGCCACGAAAGCCTATTGAGTGTCCAAAATTTTAAAAGCACTTTATGTTGAATCCAAGACTCTAGATTTAGATTTTCAGTATTCTAATGTCATCTTCAACAGTTTCTCGACTCATCCAAACAGTACACCTGTAATGGAAGAGCAATCCACTTTTATAAACTTACAGGAAGCAAGCAGTGGAATATTTTTAATTTCTTATTAGTGTGAGCATGAAAACTTGAACACTGAGCATTCCCATGAAAAATGATCTGTCTGTCAACACAACTGACAACTCTACTGCTCAGACTTTAGTTGATCATATAAAAAGCAAGGTAACTAATTATATTGGGAAGGTGGTTGTAAGTGCCTTTTTATGAATAAAACATTAAAAATCATAACTAGTATTTAGCTTCAATTTGTGAGTGAAGGTTGAATTATATCAGATACCTAGCTCCCCATCAGTGGAATAATTTTCTTCCAAGGGGACTTAAGTTTCTAGCTCATAAGAAGCCATACTGTAATATTTTTAAGAAAAATAATTCCCATTCATAATTACTAGGTTAGCTGAAGTCTTTCAGGGTGAATATAACACTTTTTTTCCCAGTTTTTCTGTATCTTCTCATTATAAAAATACTGTCTAAAGAAAAGACAAAAACTCAAGCTGCAGACTGTTTCACATTATGGATAAAAAAATGTAAAATATGGGAAGCTGAGAGGATGAGACTAGATACATAGCAAATCCTGAGAAGATATTGTAAAGTGCAGTAGTCTGTTGTAGGTTAATGTCGACTTTTTGCCTTCTTCATTGTTAAGGGTACAAAAATATATAGATTGTGTGACAGACTAACATACTTTTTATGATTTGCTTAACAGTACTTTTGTGGTTTTGAGGAGCTCCGTAATTATAGGATTTAAATGTACTTTGTGGCAGTTTCTAGCTCACCTGGTTCATGAAGTTTGATAGGCAGATATTTTAAGCTTTTCATCCTTGCTTTACTGCATCTATATGTAGCAGCAAATCTGCATTATATGAGAAAACTGCTGTTTAAACATGCTTCAAAATGGCTTTTTGTAGTCTCCTTGCTGGCTCGTGCTTTCTTCTTCCCAATATCCCCCATGGTAGTGTTATCTCTGCCTCAGGAATGTCCTGAGAAGATATCAAAAAGTCTTCCCATTGGGCCCTGTTAACCCTTTCCTATTGGTTGTTAACCCCTTCCTGCAATTGGGTGTCCTGTAAGCCCCCTGACCCTGTAATTGGTCACTCTGTGAATCCTCCTAGGACCTATATATGTAACCACCCCATCAATAAACGCGCTCTCTCGTCTCCTCTCCACGTGCTGTGTGCTGTCTCTCTGGCTGCCACGGGACCTCGTGGTTTGGGGGAGGGGTGAGCAAGCTCTCCCCTCCAGCGTCCAGGACCTGAAGAAACCCCTGGAGCTGGAGTTTTCCCCCTCCCTATCCACCCTCAGCCGTCGGAAATGGTTCCTCAGATGGAAATGGAACTAGGACTGGTGCGCCCCACACAATGTGAGGAAATCTATATCTCTAAGAATTCTTCTAAGTTTTAACTGGCTTGACTCTGAGTTATGCTGAAAACAGAGTTTTCAGATCTTAGCCCATTTCCTATCTCTTACAGAGTGCTTTGATTTTCTTAGGCACAATG